GTTCTAAAAATAAAGCAACCGTTTCATGTGCAATCTGCCCCTTCTAAAAAACTACAAACATACATACATACATACATACGTACCCACTTCTTTCTCATCTTTTTTATTTATTTTACTATACATGGCGGATAGGAAAAGGTTGCTCGTGTATTTGTTATCGGTTATTTAATGTGATTTATTTGCGTGCGAATGTTGATTTATATCGTTCGAAACATCAGTAACAGCCAAAACTATAACAACAATATCGGCTCCCTTGGTTTATCACGCACATGGGCACTTAAGTGGGTCAAAAAATAATTGGCACGCCCTCATTTTACGCCCATCTAAAGCAGCGCACTCACATAAAACCGTTTGCCATTTGTCCTTGTCCTCCCACATTGACCCACTTGGGTGGGCGTGGTTCTTCGAGTTCGAGTTTGTGCTTTAGTTTTGTGTTTTTTTTTTTTCGTTTTCCTTTTTTGTTTTTGTTTTGTTTTGTTTTGGCCAAGGCCAAGCTTTTCACTCCCATTACCAATTCACAATTACCTCACAACGCCACTCACAATTGGCTTCTGTTTACAGACAATCCAATCAATTTCGAAAAGTTGGCTTGGCATTAAGGACCTAAAGAAGCTCATTTTAATTGGGGCTTTTAAATTTGTAGTAGGTTTATGCCTGCCAGTTTTTATTGCTTTATTTTACTAGTAATTGAAATCAATTGAGTTTAAGGAGATAAATCATGTGGATTATAAGATTTGATTGCCGATTGGCTCTCACTTTAGGCTAAACAAATTTTGAAGACTTTTTGAAGGAAATTGGCATGTTTAAGGCTCATTTTTATTAGTGGTTAGCTTAAGCACGTTTTAGGATATATTATCCGATAATAGAAATGTGTAATTCTGGGTTTAGTTTGTTAGTTTAATCATTAAGTCAAAATCAAATCAAGTTAAAATCAAAAAGATTTCAAAATATTTTTAAATTAAAACTGTGGGGAAATACTTCAATCTTTTTTATAGCCCCTTGCCTCGTATTTACTTTCACTTGAGTGCGGAGCTTATTAGCCAACTTGTGCAAAACACTTTTTGCACCCCCACTGGCTGTTGTTATGGCTATCATCAAGTGCCACGCCTTTCGCACGAGCTTCAATTGATTGTCTGTGGGCAGATGAAAGGGGGGCGTGTGAGTGATGTGGGAGCGGGTTAGGGGTCCCAGTACTTGAACTCACGCGATTTTCATTCTCATTGTGTGGAGGGGCATGTGTGGCTTGTGCCCCGGTACTCAGTCAGTATTTTGGGGCAGCAACAGGTGAGGCATCCCTGTAATGTACCGGGAGAAAAGTAAATGTTGCAAATTAATACACAAATTGTTCATGCTGAACCCTGATAACTTAAATCTGGGTAACTCTTTAATATTGAGAAAATAATTATGAAATGAAAAGGTGAAAGAGATCTTTAGTCAATATCCCCCTTTTAAAAATCTAATTCATGCCTTAAACTAAACAAATAAGTTTGATATTCATCTTCAGTAATATAAACTAAATGTGGATCTAAAAGAACAAAAGATTATCTTCTGTAAGGTTTAATGAACGCCAAAGCTGCACCTCCATTAGGCCGGGCATGTTGCATGTAATGCATAATTAGTTACCTCTTAATCGGCCGCGTCCCCTCGGCGGGTGATCGCGTGTGCTTGCGGAATTTCGCAGCACCCCCGGGAACGGATACGGATGCATCATTATCATCTCCATCATCATCATCATTATCATTGAGAGCGTCATCCGTCGTCGCGTTCGCGTTTTATCCACGCCCAACTGCACACCGCAAACATAAACAGAAGGAGAGCAAGAACGTTTATATCGGTTTCAATTAAATTTAATTTGTATCGTGTTGTAATTAAGGTGCCGCTCACACACACAGACTGAGTACTGAGTAGCCGAGAAATCTCTAATTAATCTGCCAGACCAACAAACAACAACAAAATAACAAAACAACAACTGCCGACGGGCTAATACGAAGTGATTCATTCAAACTCAATTGAAAACAATTGAGCAATTGAAATGCTGTGAAAAATGATCTACATTTATGCAATAAAAAATAAAAATACAAAGTATTTGAGTGCTCAGTGACCAAGTGATTTCCCCCAACCTCAAAATGGCTCAAAACTTAACCATGTTGGTGGGCGACAGCAACACTGGCAGCAATAGTACAACAAACAGCAATGAAAACAACAATAGTAGCAACACATCGGTTAACTTTAAGCCAAAAGATACCAATGGCTGGAAGGATTACAAGAAATTGAAAACATATCTCATTCTGAAGGATCAGCAGAGTGAAAAGGTAAAATGATGGTGAAGTTGCGCAATCGATAGTGTAATATTGGTTATCGATTAGAAGGATATTACTTTTGGTTAATACCAGAAATACCAGTTTTTAAGGAGGTTAGTTAGTTACTTTACTTTTACAAGAAATGGAAAACTTATCTCATTCTAAGGGATCAGCAAAGTTAAAAAGTAACACAAAGCTGAAGTTACCACATACGTTCGTCATATCGATAATCTGATTTTACATGGACTTAGATTAAGCTTAGCTCTGTAGCGAAGAAATACCAGTAGGCAATAAGGTAAAATGAAGCTGGAATTGCACTTACGATAGTCAAATATGGTTTATAGATTTTGTCGATTTTACTTTAAGTTGTCTAAGTTAGTATATCTTAGGTTGTAACCTCCTTATGGGAAGTTAGTTATATCGATTTTACTTTAAGTTAGCTTAAGTGGTATAGTTATGTGAAAAGTTAGTCACTTTAAAATGAAAAAATGATACCCTTTGTGACATAAAAACCTCGATGGCCAGTTCAAACAAAAAACGCAATCGAAAGTTTTCACTATCGAAGTGTTACCTTCCCCCTCTTGCATTACCAATTCCAATTCTATGAATTCATAGATAACAATGTCAATAGCTCGTTATAAAAAGCGTTCTTCGTGGTATTAAAAATCTCTATGCAATCAATCAATATTGACCCAAATTATAGACTAAACAAACAATTAATAATAAAACGCAGAGATAAAAAAAATAAACGTAAGCTGACACATTTCGGAGTATTTTATAATCCCCGGCGAAGGAGAGCGAAAAAAGTCCATTAATTAGTAAAAGTTACTGCTTGTGAGCTAACTACTTATTTATATCAACTTGAAAAAGTGACTAAAAAGTTGGATACAACTTTTTTACATCAAACAGAAATGTTTCCAACCGCAATCCCAGATTTCCTCCCACTTTGTTTTATAATTAACAGAACAAACGCCGCAACAAAAGTTATGAAAGAACAGAACGAACAAAAAAGTTGCTCATAAAAAGTTATTAAACGGTCATGACCCCCATTTTCGAAATGCTTATCAGCAGCATGAAAAACAGAAACAAAAACAAACATCAGGAATGAGGTCTAAAAGAGTTTTTTTTTTGTGTTGGGCTGTGTGGATAGGGGAGGGGAGATGATAGAAGCGGGGGAAAATAAAGTCAACGAGCAAGCATGGAAAGCGAACATAAAAAGCGAACAGCAGAAAGAACATCTATAAAAAAAAAGAAAAAGAATATGACGAACTTGTTCTTCCATAAAGCCAACTGTCAGATGTCGGCTTGTAAGTGGAGGCGAGGCATGGGGCATGCGGCATGTGGCAGGGGTGGGAAGGAGGAGACGCCACCGAGCCATTGGATCAATAAATATAGATGACATGGCACTGTCCAGATTGATGTGATATGTGTGCGAGCCGCATGACAAAGCAAACAAGTAAAATGGAAGCAGAAACAGACATAAATACTCCCTGTAGGTACAGATACTTTTGTATCTGAGAGATACCCGCTGCCCACTACCCGTTGTGCAATCAAAATGCGCGCCTATCAATGTCACAAAATCTGACACAATGAAATACGGAAAGTAAACAAACAATTAAGTTTACTTACTGCCTAATAAAATAAATGAATGTTTTCTAATCTGAGTGGAAAAGAGCGATGAATCTGCATAGATACATAAGTCGGGAATAAAAGTTAAGCAAGTATATTTGAAAAAGTTCATGAAAATATTTTAATAAATTGCGAAATTACTCTGACGTATACGTTATGTTTTGCTTTTCGTGTTCGTTGATGGGTCATGTTTATTTTTCGGGGCGTAATGAATGTTTTGTGGGTGTTTCCACGTGCGTACATTAATTGGTATAAACACAGGTGACGTCTGGCCATGGCTTCCCATGGGCGGATGTTTGACAGGTCGTATACGTAATGCACGTTTGCCTATGACAGCAGGGGAGCGGAAAATTCATGTTTGCAGGTGCGATAAAGAGTGTGAGATTGGTTTTTATTTATGAATCAATAAATAAATATAAATTGTTAAGGAAATACCTTAAAAACTTGTGATATAAGCAAAAAGTAGAGTATTTTAGGTCAGGGATATATCTTGCAAATTCTTCAACAAATTCTATTGCTAAGCTTAAAGACCTAACACAGAATAAGCTTAATCTTTTTGTATTTAAACGCACATTGCTGGTTGCATCATGAAATGTTTTATTCATGCGTGTCAATCTATCAATCCATCGCAAATGTAATTTATCAATGTCGTTTCTATGTCAGCATCTTGAACAATTATGAACATCAAAGCCGACGTGCGATCTTTAAGTGTATAGACGCTAAAATCCAGTCAAAATAATAAGCTATTGGCAATTATTGCCTCGCGCTTGCTGGAAAATGAAATAATGTTCGATTGCTATTTTGGGTTTTTGCACATTTAGTGGGGATTATTGATCTTTGTTTCATGGGATTGATTCGCATGGCATAAAGGTCATTAAGACTTAGCAGTTGTTTGCTAAAAATCTCAGCTTTGTTAATCGATTTTAAATAGAACCATATTTGTGTACTTCACACCTTTGATGCGGTTTTTTATATACGAGTATATATCTGCTAAATGAATCTACAAATTTCCGGATCTGGTCTTTTGACTTGACTTTCCCCTAGTGACTAATTTTTTAACTCATCTTTTAGGCATCCCATAAACCGGAATCGGAACGTTCGTATCAGCTGCGAAAACGCTCAACGCCGGTAGCCGAAAGAACCACTTTCGTTTGCTACACTTGTGGCACGGACACGCCCTCGTCGCAACTACGCCTCGTCTACTGTTGCCCCAATGCCGAAAGAGAACCCTATTATCCATTCATTAAGACTATGAAAGTCTACAAGAACGCTAGTCCAATTAGTCCTCAAGGTAAGTGCGTTAATTACAAGTTGTGTCATCTCAACTAACGCAATTATCCTTTGGTTTCCAGGCATGGTTCAGGTCTGTTCAACCTGCAATGAAAAGCACTCTGGCTTGGCCGAAGGAGGACCACCTCCAGCTGCTTCCAGTAACCACTCTGCTGTGGGTGGCGGTTCACCAAGCGTTGGACACTCACTGGAATCGAACTCGGCCATGTACAGTGCCAGCGGAGCGATAGCCGGAAATAGTGGTGCCCAATTTGGGGGTCGTAACTCCCCATCCGAGAAATCCCTGGCCAATTCAGACTCCACGAGTAATGTGCGGTTTAGGGTAAGGAATTCGCCGATAACTGGATGGCGACTCTTAGGGGAATAGTAATTTAAGACGCAGACATCCATTGGGGATATAAATGTTTGTTCTAAAAATATGTTTCTTAAAATCAATTTGATTTGCTATTCTTATGAGGAGTTTTCTACTAGAGATCCTTAATGTTATTTGTATGACAAGACTAGCTTAAGCATGGCAGAATCTATCAAAGACTTAAAACTTTTTTAAGCTGTGAGAAAGCAAAGAAAACTGGCTCTGGCTAGAACCTTATCATTGAAAGTATTTAGATTTTTCTTAAGTAAACTGGCTGAAACCAGAGACTTTTGGCATTCTGTGACAGCAGACCACTCCCATCAACCATTTGCATCAGTTAGGAGAGGAAAACCGTTCTTCTATTAAGCAAATCTTGTTAGTTTGCGCTTAAGGAAGCGGTTATTTCATCGATGACGCAGTTGAATGAATCGATTGTCAATAACAATTTGTGAGGTGTACTCGAATGAGATTCTCATTTGCCTGGATCATAAATAATCCATTAAATATGTGAGTAGTAATAACCACAGAGTATCGGCTAAGTGCGCAAACATGGAAATTTACTAGAGAGCGAGCGGGTGATAATGTATATATATATAGAGGAAAAACAATGATTGCACTTATTACAGCAACTGAGTGGGAGATGGGAGAGTGAGAGGATCAGATGGGATGGGATCGTTTGGGTCAGTAGCAGTGGCACTTGGAGTAGCGATAACATTGCTCACATTTCCAGCGATTAGCGGCACTCACTTGCCCCGCCTTTGGAGAAACCGATAACCCAACTGATCCGGGGCCCCATTAAAGTGCTAGGCGTCTGGTAGTGGACAGATAGATGCCAGAGGATGGTTCACGACCTCAAAATGTTGAGTAATTCATTTGCAGCCAGAAGGCCGCCGAAGAAATAGAGGCATATTTCTGTATGCTTATCAGCCTTGGGAGGTGGGAGTAACCCACCGACTAATGCTAAGTCTAAAATAAATTCGATCGTCAGCATGTTAGCCAATTTGAGTCAACAAAGAGTCGAGATTAGATAGCCGTAACCTCTGCCCATTGCCCACGGACGCTCTGCATGTTCCAGCTCCACCTTCTCCACCTCTTACTCCGCCTCCTCCGGAGAAGAGCAAATAAATATGGAGCAAGTGCGAGTGAGTAGTAAGCGGCAAGAGGGATCCAAATGAAATTATCGCACAAACAAGACAGCACATATGCGGGGGCAATAAAAAACTGGGTAAACTTGGTCGACTCAGAGTCGTGTGTTTGTTTTTTGTCTTCTTTTTGCTGCCAGTTTAAGGCATCTGCTTTGAACCGGTTTACTTGTCTGCCTTTTTTTTGCTTAATTCTACTTAAACGCTTTTTATTTATAGCCGGCTATTGTTGTTGTTCTTGTTCTTGTTGCTCTCTCGTAGCGCCTCAGTTTTGTTTATTTTGCTTTTAGTTTTGTTTTGGCATTTTGATTTTTGCCTTCTTTTCTAATTGGAAATCTGTTAGCGTTTTTGGCCGAGACAATTGAAAGACTTGTCGTCGCCTGGCACGTAAATTATGGCCAACTTCTTTCTCGCAAGTTTACTCTTCATATTCGCATGGGATTTATGTTTATTTTATACATTCGTGCTTTTGTTTAATCTGCCAATGTTTGTTGTCTATTTGTATAGCTTAATTTGTCTTAAAGTGTTTTCTCTTTCTGTTTCTGGTTGATTTACTGTTTCGTTTTGCTGGTTTTAGTTTTGTTAGATTGTTTCCTGTGTGGCCTTTAGTCTCTATTTATATTGGCCAAACAGCATTGTGTCAAAAACTTCTGCGGCTAAAATAAGAATTATAATTTTTGGGGATTTCAAGCATGTCCGCAGCCTTCGCAGCAGAGTTGATTGACTTGAACACAATTATATATCTCGAATTATTCTCTTGTCTCTAAGCAATTGTGAAATGTTTCTTCTTTTAATTTTTTTTAGTGGCTCGTTAGGTTTGACATTTGTGTTGGCTTTGATTAAACAGAAGTCATCTGTTTGCTAAGCGTGTGGGTTGGAAAAAAGGCGAATTTCCAACCATAATTTATCTTTAAACAGGTGTCCGACATTTGCTCTATTTTCTATATATCTGTGGATATGAATTCGATGTGCGTTTATACTATATATATCAGGTTGGGCTTATTCAGGTCATTGCACAATCGAGCAGAGTTTTCGAAACTCGTTTTCTTGCATAAAGAAACAGCAGTAAGCTGCTGGAGCACAAAATACGAAATTAAATATAGATAAATGCAAATATTTATCAATACGCCGGAGACAATAACAACAGTAACTCAATATTTAAACAATTCTTTCCGAATTGTTTACATTTGCATTGTCTTATTTGTTTATTTCTGTTTTCATTTTCATGTACTCTTATTTGCATTACGGTCTCAGGGCTTTGAATTGCAAATGTTTGGCCTGGCAACACTTGATAGAAGTAGGTAGGACAGGATCCATATCTGATATCCCGCCCTTTCCCCAGATAACACACTTTTAAAGGTTGTAAATGTATAAAGCAAATACCTGGACTTGCTCAGAGGCAGAGCCAAGTCATTCAACTTTCTCAAGTATAATAAATAATAATAATAAACGCTGATAAATACTGGAAGTGTAAACATGCTTCAGCAGTTTGGTAATAAATCAAACATTTAACATCTTAGATCTACCCACAATTAGTAACTCAAGTGATCACAATGAGTTCATAACTTTCGAGCAGAAAAGAATTCCCTGCTTGAGTTGAAAGGCCCTTGAAAATCAAATTATATTCAAATATAGACAGTGTTGACATACATCATCGAAATGCTGTCGAGTCATGCTGGCAATGAGTGAACAAATAACGAATAAGCGAAAGCTGAGTTCAACTTTGAACTGGATTGATATATGGCTGATTGATATCAGCTGTCGTAACCCCAAACCATCTAAGCCATCTAATTAGCCCTAAACGGAATGCGCGATAAGGAGCCTATGGTTTTAGAGAGCCAATCGCTCTCGCCCTCGAAATATAAGTCGCAAAACGAAGGGAGATAAGTGAACCGCGCACGGTTCGAACCGGATCGATTCGGTTTTTGCGGCAAAAGCCGAAAGCAAACCCAGTCGGACGCCAGTCATAGTCGAGGGGCTACTCCTTGAATAGCAAATCAATTGTATAAAATATTTAATAAAATTTGGTGTTGACGTTTTGTTGGTGTTGCTATTTGCTTGCTGATTAGATAGAGTCGGGAGTTAGTCGTGTTTGGGAAGGGGATCGTCAAAACAGTTGGCATTCTCGATTGAAGACAGCGTGTGCGTGATATTCTTAGAACTGATACACAATTATAGCTTATACAATCTGTATGTTTTCATTTTCATTCTATTGCTGATAGCCTTACGAGACGAACTCTAACAATTCCAACTCAAACACGGCACGCGACCTCAAACAAATCCGTCGTAGCGATTCGCGTCCAAACTCGCCGAGTTCCAGCCAAGGAGCCATTGAAAATGGACACGGCCAGTATCCGTAAGTAACTGCAGTTTTTCCCTTTTACAACTTGTATCTAATGTTTCAATTTCCATTTTGTTTTCCAGTTGCTCCATTTGCAAAGTGCTGTGTCCGTCGAACAAAATGGATTGGCTGTCCACTAGTGCCGAGCACATGAACTCCCATGCCATGCACTTTCCCTGTCTCAAGGCCAATGCCGTAACCAGCAATAATAATAATAGTACCAGTAACAACAACAACAATAATACCAACAACAACAATAACAACGAACTAAACAGCAATCGCGTGCTGGCCTGCAAGGACTGCAAGGATTACTTGGCCAGCCAGTGGGAGACCATGGATGCGGAACGAGTTCCCCTCGAGCACAGAAGGTTTTTCTCTTTGATTTCCTCATATATTAAACACGATTCTAACTGTTTATATTCATTTCCTTTCCAGATACAACATTCCCTCGCCCATGCTGACCTCCAGCTCACCAAACGGATCTCGGCACGGCGCAATGAGCATCAACACTCCGCCCTCCACGCCATCCATATCATCCTCGACGCCTGCCAGCACATCAATCTACTGCTATCTCTGTGGCCTGCACTCGGACCTAACGTTAGCCAGGGTTCTCTATGCCAGCAAAGAGGTAGAGCCAGCAAAGCGGCAACTAGAGATAGTAATTAGTTAAGAAGGTTGTTTAAAGTGCAATGCAGCTAGCCATTGAGCTGGCAGAAGTATATGTATTAGCGGAAACAGAAAATAGGAACGTTTCTATAAAGTTAAATTAAGAAGCTTTATAGCCAAATAATCCCTCAGATGCCAACTCATGAGACTTAGTTATTTTAGAGATTAAGTTTATTACTCAAGACTAAATTTAGAATAAGATTATCTAGATCAGAAATTAAATATTGTACATCCTTGTTTAAACCAGAACTTATCTTTTTATGACCAAGTTTTCCCTAAAAAGTAACAAATTAGTTTAAATTTCAACTAATAACGTCAGTAGATAACTTTTCACAAGCACATGCTTGTTATTAGGGTAAATATTAAGGTATTTATTAATATCAATCAGTCACAGTTCGGCTTTGGCAGTACATCAACTCTGCCTTAAGAGTTTAATTTGTATTTTAGGTCAACTGCTAAGACCATCACTTAATTTAGGCCACATTGTTTGAATGCGCTTGTGTGTGTGTGTGCTTAATATTTGTATATCGCTCGCCAAACATGTAATTTGCTGATAAGTCAAGCTGATTTCCTTTTTCCCAACGATTGCAACACCACAGTCAATCAATATAGATACCCATGGCTAAATAAATACAAATGTTACACGATATGTGTGCAGATTGTTTTAGATAGCGTTAGCATTGGATTTTACTCGGTGTACGTTAGATATCTAATGATATTATCTCTGTTCTGTCGAGCAATAATTAACAAATGAAACCTGTTTGGTTAAGTAATGAGATATGTTTTGGTTTACTCAGTTATCAATCAGAAAAAAATCATAATGCAGGAAAGATAGTAGAGTTACGGGGATAATATGAAGTATTCGTTTGGGTATGTTTGAAAATCATATATGAACTCTGATATTATCTAATAATAGAAGTAAAGGTTTCAAAGGTTTCAAAATATGTCTAATTTTACTTCCAATATTGTATAATATTTTAAGACTATAAGTAGTTTAACTTTACCTTATACCTCTACCTAATTAACTTATATTTCCTTATTCCTTCAGGGTTCGCGTCCTTATTTTCCTCTGCTGCTTAAACATAATTCTCTGCCCAATGCCGAGCAGTTAAGAAACAATTCGGCCTTGGTCTGCACATTTTGTTACCATTCCATGTTGAATCAGTGGCGCAAGTAAGTCAAATATTTATAATATCAAAGTACAAGTCATTAATGAGTTCCTTCTTTCTTGCAGATATGAGGCACAGAGCCCCAGCGTGAATCCAGCGGATCGTAAATACAATTGGCATGACTACAACTGTCACCTGTGCGGCATTACGACTTACAGGAAGAGGGTTCGGGCTTTACCCGTCAACGAGTTTCCCTTTGTGAAGCATCAGAAGAGCGACGATGGCCTGCTGCTGGAGAACGGGGAGTATGCGGTCGTCTGTTTGGATTGCTACGAGAGCTTAAGGTGGGAAAGCTAAGCAGTGATCTGGTTATCACTTTCCATAATAGAAGCGATGTTACTAAGAACGTTGTTTAGAATCTGATAAATGCAAACAAGAAACACAAAGGGAAGAAATTATTAAACTTATTCGTTTGGTCAATTCAGTTGTTCTTAGAATAAGTTGAAGATCGAAATATAGTCTAGAATACAACTTACTAACTTGCTGATAGATTTGTAAAATGCTTTAGAAATTCCTTTAAGGCTTCATCCTACTTTATAAAACTCAAAAAGAGCTTAAGTTAAATCAGATTCTAGTAATTAAACTCTATAACTAGAAGGCATATTTCCACTTGAATCCGATTTATAAGTAAAATATAACTTCTTGCTTATAAAAATCAGTTTCCCGATTTATATTTCAAAGCCTAACACTAAAAAACCTACATCTTTTTTACCTTTCTGGTTATAATTCATTAATATTTTATTACCTTATAAAGTATAAGTCTGATTAGAATATTGTCAAGACACGATCGATCCGTTTGCATTTCATGTTAGTAGCGGGGAAAAGCAGTTCAGTTCGGATGAGTACTGGTTTTGCCCCACTGATAAAAAGTTCATTGCTTTCGGATGTGCTAATCATATACAAAAAAGTTGTAAAAACTTCATAAACACGTGAATGAAAGTGAAAGCCATCACATGTTTAGTTAGTTTATCTTATTAATTAATATTTTTTCATTTTAGACAACAAGCCTCGCAGCACGATCGCTTTGGGGTTCCCATTTCCAGGCGGGCCTACAACTGGGTGCCCCAACCGCCACCACCAGAGGACAGTCCCGAATCGGCAGTGGCCCGCTTGCCCTGTGGCGAGCGCTCCGATCGCATTGTGAGTATTAAATTGAACTTCGGTAGCTTGTCAATGAAATCTGACCCGTATCCATGTGCCAATTCTTGCCCTCCAGCACATAAACAATGCCTTGAGGCCCGTGCCAGGAAAGAAGACCACATCTCCTAAGCAGTACGACAAGTCAAAAGAAGGTAAGTGACTCCTCGCTGGCGTCGGGGGAAGCCGATCTGAATCCCCCGCCTCTTCCACACTTTCTGGTAATGCGAAACGCCAAGCCAGCGCCCCGGGGTTAGCGGGTTCAAGTGAAACCCAATTCGCGTCAATAAATTTCAATTGGTTTCACTTAACTTTGAGTGTTCGGCGTTGGCCGCTTTGCTCGGACAGTTCAATAATAGCCTTAGCTGGGCTCGTTTAGCCTCCCCAAAGTAGGAACATTGGTCATTGGTTTGGTTAGCAGAAGCATTTGCTTTGCTCGGAGATTATTTTTCCTTTTTTTTTTTCCTCAAAAAGAGTTGAGCATTTGTGGGGAATCTGCTGACTGGGGCTCTGTGCATTTTCTTTTTAAACGGATTTCACAGTATTTTGCATATGCAAACTGAGGTTAATGCGGTGCAGTGGCAGGATTTTCGAAAATCCATCTTCGATTGTAACTTAATCAAAGAATTTTGTGTGGATAAAAGTTTGGAGAACTCTTGAAAGCTTTCGATTTGATTTTCTTTGGATATTGATTTGAAATAGTATGGTTGGAAAGTTGATAAATTTATATAGATATTGCCTTGTTTTGCTTTCATATTTTCTTTGGTTTTGTAAAACAAAGCAGAAATAGAAAATATTCAAAGGAAAACTAATTTTTCAAGCATGTAGATACCATAAATTTGTCTCTTTCCCAAATTCAATTTTTTTTTTGTATATATATCATGTTTTGCCTGTGGCACTCAAGTGTCCTTAATCCCACATGAATACCGAACGCACACTCGGAAAAATCTCAGCCAAAGCTTCTCTAATTGCATTTCCCCCAAAAATGAAAACGAATACGAGAACGAGAGGAAAAACTTCAACATGAATAAGAAATCAACTGATTAAATGCCCAATAACAAACTGAGACCACAACGAGGAGGTGGAAGGAGGGTTCCTTCCATGTACTAGCTGTTGTAATAAATATTGATTTTTTATGAATTGCAATGGGGCTGTGTGGGGGTGGCAGTGAGTGCTTTCGCCCTCTTTCCTCGCTTATTTATGCAGCAGCAATGGCGTCGGTAAACTTCTTCAATAAAATGCCAAAAAGGAAACATCATAAAAATAAATAAACAGAGAAAACCACAAGCACACAGACGGTCTCCTTGAGCGTGTATGTCTGAGTGTGTGTTTGTGTTGGTGTATAACTTTGCACACGAATTTTTATGCAACCCACCCACCGGAGTCACCCACACAAAACCACCTACAAATGCCACTTCCGACAACAGCAATCCCCAAACGAAAAATGAGAATGAGGACGAAAACGAGAACGAGAACGAGAACGAACGACCGACGGACCGAGCGAGCGAGCAAGCACAAATAATAAAAGCAACAGCATAAAGTATTTCGAATTGAATTACTCCGTGTTATCCTGTCAACCATACGAAAACACTCAAGACCATTCAACATGCCACACGCTTCCTGTCCCGTGTACACCCACTGTAGCTCGTTCTCTAGGGGATACCACCACCCACCGTTTAAGGAGTTGGCATCGATTTGCAAAAAGTATATTACCACCCGGAAAGAGGGGAGAACTTAACCATCTCGCCCCTTCTCCTTCTTCATTTCCTTCTCCCACCCCCTTTGCTGCCAATAAAATGAAGTTATGCCCCATGGTGGTTGGGCGGTTGAGGAGTTGAATAAGTAAACATAAAACCACTGAATTTACGCTTATTGCACCCGCAAACATTTTGTTTAACACAACAACAGGCGTCGTCGTTGTTGTGACTCTCTTTCTCCTTCTCTCTTTTTGTCTCCCTCTCTTTCTCTATACATCTCACATCCCCTACGGCTATCTCACTCTGCACAGTGGGTTGTGTGGGTGTCATTTCCGGCCTCAATTTCAAAAGAAGCTCAAATTTCCACACAATTTTCCGGCTTCGCTCTTTGGCACTTTGGCTCGTTTCGTTTCGTTACGTTTCGTTTCGTTTCGTTCGCTCTCGGAATGGTTTTTTGCACCACCAAGTTGGATTTTCCACCTCCATCTCCAGTACCACCCCATTCCCAATTCCCCTTCCCATTCCCTTCCCTGTTTGACTGACAGCCGTTTCCTCGTTGCCACTTGTTCAGTCAGTCACTCAGCAAGGACTCAACCTCCTGCAACCCCTCTCTAACCACAATTCTGTTTTTGCCGCCTTTGGTTGTGCTTTTTACTTTAGCCACATCTTGTTGTTGCCCAAGTTGCCACCTTTGCCACAAAAATATTTCAAGCACTCGCCACCCCATGCCAGCCCCGGCCCCTTCTCGCCCCTCCTTCGTTTCCGTTTTGCGTAGAATAACAGTTACATTATCCTTTTTATTGCCACACTTTCCAGACACGAATGCCAGGACGAGACTGAAAGAAAAGTGTGAACGAGACAGCGAGAACGGGCAGGGGTGTAGTTCGGTTTGGTAATAGGGGTTTTTTGGCCGTTGGGGGATGGGGGATGGAAACCAGGCCCAGACACAGACATATTTGGCTTGTGGCAAGCTACGACCTAACCCCCCCGACCCAATCTTCTTCGCCTTTTCAGTTTATTGTGCTCGACCCCCTTTCACGAAACCACCCCCCCTCCCCTAACCCCCCTTTAAAACTTCCAGGAAATTGTGGGCAAAAAATGTGCACTGCATTTATTTTTGCTAGAGCTCGGCTGACTCGAGTCGCAGTAAATTGTGGTAAACACGAAGCCAAGTGTTTTGAAGGGTATTTACTCGGTTGCGGCCCACAGTGGTTGCACAGTGGGTCGCATCGTCATTTGCATAATTGGCAAACATGATTGCAGACAGAGGAGTCTCGTGCTAAAGAATGGATAGCTCTGTGTGTACGATGTATATTGAAGGGGAATTATGCAAAATAAAATTGACTTCTAGCCGCAGATTATGGTGATTTTCTTTAGCAGTGAATATTCAATATACGGTGAGGAAATTTCGTTTTCATGTTCCTTTGAAATTTGTGGAGGTTTTAATATGGATTTTTTCGGTACAACTTTTCTTCTTCGCAAATATTTTTTAAAGAAGGTTTTGTCTTTAGTTACAGATATTGATTCCTAAATTATTTGTTACTTTTACCATTATTCCTTTTTGAAACTTAAATGTCTTAAAGACCTTTTTTGTGTTTAGAATTCTTTATGGCTGCTATTAATTTTTAACATAAATTTATCTCCTTCTTTCTTTTGAATACCTCAAATTCCTTCAATTGATTCGCTTGTTAAAACGGTTTATTGTCTTGCCCAGGACATTTTCCATTCCAAGCAACACGCTTTACATCTCTGTTGGTATCGGAGTCTTACAACTTCATCCCTTTGTAATCATCATCATCTGTTAGCGGCAGCTGATTTATCCCACACAGCCTGTCAGCACATAACCTCAACTCACTTAAGGGGATTCCCTTTTTGCCAGTCTCCTTATTTCCTCTCCTCCCTTTCTTCTATGTGCACACATAAAGCGCTGATGTGGCATGAAAAAACATATAAATTCTGCCAATCGATGAAGATAAAATACATTTTGTAATACGTTAGCCCACCACCCCCATGGCAGGCCCCCCTCTATCTGGGGGTTGGGCGGACGTCTGAGGTCAACCGTTTGAGTGTGGGTGTCTTTTGGGAGTCAACGAAGTGTGCAACGTCAACTCGCACACATACATAAACACACACATACAGTCGCACAAAAAGACATTCCGTGTGGGTGTAAGTGAAATTTCAAGTGGCGCTACCAAGGCAAACTTCAGCATTGACTCTTAGTGCGCCACCCACCACATATGCTTGTGGATACAGTCAAACTTCGATAACCTTGACAACATGAATGATATTTTTTTAGGATTTCGGATAAGTCAGTTACTCAGATCTTAATTGTAAAGGCTCGTTTATACCTTTTATCTTTTTTAAACTTAAATGGTTATCTCTTTCTTCAAAACGTATCTCATAAATCGATTAGTTCTACATCTTCTTTCTAATTAAGAGTCAAGATTGGGGTATTATTTATTTTAGATTATTGACGTTAAAATGTCTTAATCTCTAAAAGACGTTCTTTAAGCCTCTTTTCACTTATAATTTCAGGATGAAAAGTTCTTGAAGCTGTAATTTAGCTTATGAAAGTTACATTTTTACAAAGCTGAAGTAAGAAAGTTTGTTAAAGTTAGGTTCAAAGTATTTGTATTTGTGTTAAGAATGTTTTTATATATACGAAAAGATACAAACTTATTCTTGAAGTTCGAAGTTCAAGATTTTAAGGAGGGCGGATTCGAGTTATAGAAGCTCTCCTGTATATGAGCGGCTGAGTGTTTGGAAACCCTTTAAAAGCTTGTTGTTGCCAGACACATAAACGTTTAGCCCATAAACCCTTGATGTATGGAACATAAACACCACACTTGCAAGTGCCACTCATTCGGTGGTTTCTGGGGATCGGGATTCCGGGGTATCGTGGGGCTTGTGGCCCTGGTGTCAGTGGTTAGTGGTGGTGGTTGCTTCTGCCAGCTAACTGCTAACTGAAATCCAATGTGTGTCCGGATACGGGCACGGGCACGGGTGTCGGGCTTGGGCTTGGGCTTGGGCTTGGGTCTGCGAATGGGCTTGGATTTTGGGTTCAGGTTCTCGGTCCTGAATTCTCGGTCCGGCAACCGCAATGTCAATAAATATGTTACGCCTGACTCGTCCTTTTTTCCCTGCCAAAGGGGGAGCTGTTGTTGGTTAGCAATTTGGTTAAACATATTTATTTGAGGGTAGTGGCCAGCAGTTCATTCCATTCCGCACTGACTGTGTGTTTTTCTTTTGTTCGATTTTGGCCGGAACATCGAGTTAGTCGTAACAATTTCGGTATTTTCCTATTCAATTTGTAGGCATCGATTTATTTCCGACAATTGCCAACGGAGTTCACTCAAAATATTTTCATTTTCGTCTACCCCATAAAAATGAAATGCATTTATTTGCACAAAGTTTTCCATATTCAAATTGCATCTTTTGCCTGCCGCATACTCGTAAAT